CGTGGCCACTGTTCTGGGTAGTCAGCATATATAATTGTCTTCAGGCACTCTCCAAGTTGTGATCTGGATCAGAATATTAGGGAAAGAAACATAGTTATGATTCGCGTTGAGAAAAAAACAAAATAATGGCCTATATATGATACTGCTGTGACCAGGGGAGTAGGAAAATTGCTAACTTCTGAAAAAATCATTCACTATCCGCTATTCATGATATCAAGCAACAAAGCATAATGAAGAGACATTCAAAGACGCATGATATATCTATATTAGCCTCAGGTCCAAGTCACACAAAAAGTGAAGACTATCAGCTCAAAATGTAGTTTATTCGCATGATTAGCCATATAAAAGCAAACCAAGTCAGAACTCAGACAGAAAATCAAAAGCTATCTAGCAAACTTACCTAAGTAAGGTTGGAACTTGGGTGACATAGACAAGGATATTATCCCTCACCAATTCTTTGTCGCTTTGCAATATCCTCGGCTGCTCTCCTGCACCATCAAATATTCAGATTAATCTACGAGCTTCCAAAAGTTAAGACTGAAACAAGAGAATAACTAATTTATTACCAGAATCTTCAGGTGACCAGTTCTTAGCAATGAAGTTCTTGAACTGAATACTAGCAATCTGACGCACTGCCATGTCGCAATTTCCATCCACGGCTATCTGCAACAATCTGACCAAATGCTGGGGCGTATGCTGCAACTGCAAAACAGATAATGACGAGAAACTGTGAGCAATCAATCTCATCTTGAAAATCTTATTGAACTAGTGAATCCTCCAAATCCAAAAGCATTGAAATCAGCCAAAAAGATTAGTTTTAGACGAACTCAGTTAATTTCCACAACGAGAGTGTCAACTAACAGAGAAACTTCAAGATACTAGTACCAATCGAATATCAATCAGAACTCGATAGGAATATCAAAAACAAGCAAAAGCGTAAATACATCCTCAAGAGAATTCAAGTAAGAAAAAAACCTGATTGAGTTTCTGCTCAGAAGCTTTGCGTTCATCGGGAATAGGGCTGAGCGCGGCGGCTCGGAGGATTAAAGCGAGGCTAGGCAGATCCATACTCCTTGGAGTTTGGAAATCGAGGACACTACACAGTAAAAAGGGGAAGAGACGATCAGAGGCACTGGTGGATTCGATTTGAAATTTCGAGTTCAAAAGCCCTAGAGAGAGCTCAATTTGAGTAAGCAGATTCAGTAGAGCTTCATAGGGTTTTTAGGAGCGACAAAAATGGCGGAGAAGAAGAAGATGATAGTTGGCGAGAGTCGAGAGGGACGAATAGTGTGCTGG